CGAGGTTTCACTGTTTTATTTAGGGAATTGGAGATTTGATACTATAATTTTCGATTACTTCACTCAGTATATGATTTGATTCGAGATATAACTCATTAATGAAACCATACTAAGGCTATAAAGTCTCAAACAAACAAACACCATTAAACCGAGTGCCAACACCATTAAACCATGCCCCAAATTTAGTAATCTTCTTTTGTGTGTCGAAAGACCGAGGTTACCCGGGTATATTTAGGAAAATGAAATTTGATACTATAATGTTCGATTACATCACTCAGTATATGATTTGATCCGAGATATATCTCATTAATGAAACCATACTAAGGCTATAAAGTCTCAAACAAACCAACACCATTAAACCGAGTGCCAACACCATTAAACCATGCCCCAAGTTTAGTAATCTTCTTTTGTGTGTCGAAAGACCGAGGTTACCCGGGTATATTTAGGAAAATGAAATTTGTAATACTATAATGTTCGATTACATCACTCAGTATATGATTTGATCCCAGATATTTCTCATTAATGAAACCATACCAAGGCTATAAAGTCTCAAACAAACCAACACCATTAAACCGAGTGCCAACACCAATAAACCATGCGCCAAATTTAGTAATCTTCTTTTGTGTGTCGAAAGACCGAGGTTACCCGGGTATATTTAGGAAAATGAAATTTGATACTATAATGGTCGATTACATCACTCAGTATATGATTTGATCCGAGATATATCTTATTAATGAAACCATACTAAGGCTATAAATTCTCAAACAAACAAACACCATTAAACCGAGTGCCAACACCATTAAACCATGCGCCAAATTTAATAATCTTCTTTTGTGTATCGAAAGGCCGAGGTTTCACTGTTTTATTTAGGGAATTGGAGATTTGATACTATAATTTTCGATTACTTCACTCAGTATATGATTTGATTCGAGATATATCTCATTAATGAAACCATACTAAGGCTATAAAGTCTCAAACAAACAAACACCATTAAACCGAGTGCCAACACCATTAAACCATGCCCCAAATTTAGTAATCTTCTTTTGTGTGTCGAAAGACCGAGGTTACCCGGGTATATTTAGGAAAATGAAATTTGATACTATAATGTTCGATTACATCACTCAGTATATGATTTGATCCGAGATATATCTCATTAATGAAACCATACTAAGGCTATAAAGTCTCAAACAAACCAACACCATTAAACCGAGTGCCAACACCATTAAACCATGCCCCAAATTTAGTAATCTTCTTTTGTGTGTCGAAAGACCGAGGTTACCCGGGTATATTTAGGAAATGAAATTTGATACTATAATGGTTGATTACATCACTCAGTATATGATTTTATCCGAGATATATCTTATTAATGAAACCATACTAAGGCTATAAAGTCTCAAACAAACCAACACCATTAAACCGAGTGCCAACACCATTAAACCATGCCCCAAGTTTAGTAATCTTCTTTTGTGTGTCGAAAGACCGAGGTTACCCGGGTATATTTAGGAAAATGAAATTTGTAATACTATAATGTTCGATTACATCACTCAGTATATGATTTGATCCGAGATATTTCTCATTAATGAAACCATACCAAGGCTATAAAGTCTCAAACAAACCAACACCATTAAACCATGCGCCAAATTTAGTAATCTTCTTTTGTGTATCGAAAAACCGAGGTTACCCGGGTTTATCTAGGAAAATGGAAATTTAATACTGGTAAGATGCTCGATAATATCACTTAGTCTCATTTGATTCGATATATATTTAATTAATGAAACAATGCAAAGGCATTCTAGTCTCAAACAAGCCATCACCATTAAACCGAGTGCCAACACTATTAAACCATGCCCCAAATTTAGTAATCTTCTTTTGCGTATCGAAAGGCCGAGGTTTCACTGTTTTATTTAGGGAATTGGAGATTTGATACTATAATAAGTTTGAAGCCACGTATATCTTACGTACATTGTTGCGATTGATATCGGTTGCAAATAGGTTGCGTTATTGTTGCGATTAAAGATAAACTTTAGTACTGGTAATGCGATTGCATTGTGAAAGAAAAGGTGTGAAAGGATCAGAAACAGTTGATCATGTAGCATGTAAGTATTGGTGTGCACTGCAAGGTTCTGGAGTCATCAAAATCATAATAAATTTGACCGAGTCTTGGTAAAGTAACAAACACTCACATGGAAAGCTATATATGGGACAACACACATGGTGTCGGGGATGGTACTACCTTGGTTTCCTTGTCTTTCTATGCTCATAACTCAGCCGGTATACATTTTCTTCCAAAATTGTTTGGCACATGTCATTTATTTGTAATCTTGAACATTCAGTGTAAATTTTGTTTGATTCTGTGAAAAAATTTTTTTTACCAGTACTGGAGTTTATCTTTAACATCAACTCTCTATAAGACGGGGCCCTGATGTGTGTCAAGCAAAATCACTATCTAAGCAAAATATATTTCACACAATACCTCGTAGTTATACCTGTTCTAACTTTAATAAAAATCTCTGTCAGCAGCAGACAACATCATATTTACTTCCATTTACATCAGCTCCTTCCCTTCTCATTTCCATGTTACGAAAACAGGCTGGATTTAAGTCCTGTCAATCTTCCCCCCCCCCGCATTTCTGAGAATACAAGACAAAGATACTTCCACCATCACTGAATCAATATTTACATTTTAATGACCAAATGCCATCCTTTTTTTCACTACAATCTACAAAGCTCAGGGAAATGAGAGGCGGAGACATGTGTGTACAAAAGATGGTGAAATTACACTTCATTAAAAGAAAATCACTTTTCCTTCTTTGTCTTTTCTCTGATTTTCCACTGTCATGAAGACCAATCTTCTACAAAAAGGTCCTTTTAATGTATCATAAATCCTTGAGTATATTTCAACTGTAGAAAGTTAGCAATGACATAAATTTTTGTACTTTTCTTCCATAGATGCCATATACTTGGCTCACTGACAGCCAAATAATTATTAAGAGTAATCACCTTTTCAAACAAGCATCAAAATCGTATAAAGCATATACCAACACCAATGCACTACACTATGAAACAATACTTGAGGGACAAACGATTTTCAAGATAAATCTGAACAGATATTTAAATTTTGTTCATATTTTTATTTTTTCGAAAAAAATATTATTAAACAATTAAACAATATTAAACAAAAGTTGTTCATGTTAAAAAGAAAATTAGACGATATTCAACTTCCATTCCCAGTAACCCAGGGGCCCGTTTCACAAAGCCTTTTTTCGATGACAAATGACAAAAATCAGTGACGAATCAGCTGATAACCAATCAGAAGCAAGGATTTCAGTAGCTTTTAACAAAAACTGGCATTTGTCACTGATATTACAAGTTTTGTGAAACGTCCCCCTGCTTATACCGGTCATGCAGTAGCAGCAGTCTTATAGTTACCTTTGCTGAGGATGATTGAACAGGATATGATCAAGAGGTTTCATCATTTTTACCTCTATGCACTTTATTCATTCTCTTGAGATCAGATGTATTTTGTTGCTGACTACCGGTATTGGCATTGTGACATGAGAAACAAGAGCGAAACCCTATCTACAGTGTGCCCCAGAAAAAATGAAAACAGATTTCATGGCAAAATGTTTCTATTGAAATGAATCATTTCCTTAATGAGATATACTGTACATTTATGGAAATTTCTGCTTCTCTACTTTCATTTGATTCACAACTTAATCAATATTGATGCTGAGGATTCACATCTCAGAGTGCCATCTAGCGACTCCAGTCTTCAGTCGATTTCATGTGATGCATTATGGGAAAAATTTGACAAAAATATCAGCTGTGGCAATGTTATAAACATTAGATGAGTAGATTAAATCAGAATTTTTTGATGGGGAATTATTAAATAATAAGCTGTGCTTCAAGTGACAGAAAAGAAACAGAGCTTTTCATCCATGCATACCCCTCATCAAGGAAATTTCTGCCACAAAATCAATTTCGATCTTTTATGGGACACACTTTTCAATATACATGTAATTTAAAAAAAGAATAGACATGCCACATAATTTACATTGGTAACTTAGTTCTCACCTTTTCACTTCTAATATACCTCCATGTATAAATGGAATACTTAAAACGAGAATATGTAACATGCATGTACTTGAAGAAATATAGGAAAGGGAGTTTGCAAACAAATATAAACCATTTGCACTGTTGCATTACTTCTCACACTGCGCTGCCAGTTAATGGTTGATATTTATTCACAGAATATCCTGGACAATTCAAAGTTTCTTGGGAGACAAGTAAAAGCAACTTACGAAACTTCACATCTTTAAAGAATAGCCCTTTCTATCGACACAATGAGAATATCAAAATTTGAAATAATACGGTGACACAGAAACTCAGATGAGATCATCCAGCCTGGGGGGTGTTTCACAAAGATCCTAAGTTGAACTTATCTCTAAGTTGGACTTAACAGTTATGGAAAGCCATTAGCATCTTTGAAAATATTTTGTAAAAGTTATTTTAAAAGGTTTTAAATGTTGATTCAAATCATTCATATTTTTTATTATCCTGGGAAATTTCATGTTCTTGATGTGAAATTTATGAAAAGTCTGAAATACTTGAATTTTCGCTTTTTAATATATTTACTTTTAAGCCTACAAATGGCTGTCCATAACTTTTAAGTCCAACTTAGAGTTAAGTTCGACTTAGGATCTTTATGAAACATCCCCCTGGAATGGTAACATTAGAGAGACTATGCAGGGTGACAGAAGAGAGGCTATGTAGGGTGACAGAAGAAATACTTATTGCCCAATGATACTGAACCTGGATCCAACCCTCTTCAAGTTTACATGAACTTATAATTTCACATGAATGTCTACGTGTCGATACAAAGCAGCAGTAGAAACACAGCATGGTTTACAAAGATTACGGTAGAGAAAAATACTTACAGACAAGGTCATTATTAAAATCTACGGTTCAAATCTTGATACAAAGAACTGTTTATATATACACATACTCCAAAGTTCTAATTACTTTTTTTTTAAATCCTTTTTCCCCTCCCCCTTGTGCCAACTTTTCTCACTTTCAGTACCAAATGGAATGAAGTCTGATATACTATAACTACAGTGTACTATATCCAGATTTCTCTTTTTTAAATCCAACTCTAAATCCACGGTGCTTTGTACCCTTATAATCTGATAAAGCTTACGGTATCTACTATTCTTACAAATGTTGGTCGTAATAAGTCACAGTTTGAATGAGAATCATGTCTGGATTTATCATGGTCTAACCGAAAAATTCAAACCATATGATCGGCAAACGACAGAGCACATAATAAAGTACATGAGGATTCACTCCGTCTCTTTAATATCTCTCTCATGAAAGCTCTATGATTTTTGTTTACTATTATTGACAACAGGAAAATCTTGCTCTATGCCGACTGTACAGGTAGACGCTGATCTCCGATTGATTAGTCTACTCTGTATGGCATGTAATAAGGAGATGGAGTCAATATTGGGAGGTCACATGAGAGGTCACATGAGAGGTCACATGGCATGTTTGTAAGTATATTTTTTAGCTTCTGCTTCGTACAATGCTCTGTCCCTCTTGTATAGTTGTGCGATTTCTGGTACCAGGGGGTCATCAGGGTTAGGGTCGCATAGCAGCGAGCAGATCGACAGGAGTACTGAAACAGAAAACAAAAAATAGATCAAAATTATTCGTTCAAAACTTCATATTCTGTGCTTGCATAAATCCAATTGATTGTAATTACTTCACACCACTTTGAACATAATGACATGAATACATCTATATTTGCATCTAAAGAGCATTGATGTCTATACTTTGCATAAATACAGGACCTCTAAATGGAAGGTATCTCCAGTGACATTTGAACTGTTGACTACAAACCTAAAAGGCAGCGCTATCGTAGGCACCCATCTTCTCTCCTGATAATTGAATTGTGATAGAAACATCAGAAGATGTTGATTTTATATTTCATAAATATTGGTGCGTTCCAGAAAACTCTACTGAAGTTTTGAATTATTCAAATTTCAATGGAGGTGCTACGGGTTTGTGTTGACGTACAATATTCCGGACACTGCCCTAGCACAGTCTTCCTTTTCTCTATTAAACTCTACCCTGAGTGCATCAATGATGTATTTTTAGGGATGTCCAAAGAATATCTGTTGTTGAAAATCCATTGCAGCCCTCGCCAGTCGTCATGGGGTGGAATTACGATAACCATAATTCAACCTTTGTAAGACCCTAATATCATCCATATCGATTCCAAGGAATTATTTAATGCCCACAATCGGGAGGGAAGCGGATGGGATTTGCATAGAGAAAAGGAAAACTGTGCTAGGGCAGTGTCTGGGATATTGTACGTCAACACTTACCCGTAGCACCTCCATGGAAGTTTTGAGCAGTTCAAAACTTCAGTAGAGTTTGCTGGAACGCCAGTGGCATCCTTCAAGGTGGCCGGATCTACATTGATAAAATGACGGATGTAGCCGGACCTGCGTGGAACTACCGTTTTCCATGGTCATTCCTACTCTGATGTGGGACTAAGTGAGTGGGCCTTATGCCTCAGTCACACCTTTGCGTATTTGGCTTGCATTTTGCTGCGCAGTTATGGCAAGCAGTTTTAACATTTATTTATATTTCTTGATATCAAGAAATTGACTTCTTGGATACCAAGAATTACCATTGCTTTACAACAGAAAATCATTTCTTGGATATCAAGAATTACCATTGCTTTACAACAGAAAATCATTTCTTGATATCAAGAAAAAGGAATAAATGTTAAAGAGATGGTTCATTGATTTCAAACTTGACTGAATTTGGTATCATTGCAATCGAAAAATTACACTGAGTAAAATCATTACATTTTGTGTAACTTGTACATTCGAGCGAAATTTATAAAAGTTGATTGAACTTGACGAAAAATCACCCCACTCAACGCCCCAAAAACATTGTAAGTCAGCTGATTTTTGAAGTGACGACACAATATGAACAGTGGGCCGCTCAGCTGAAATGATTGACGACGGTGCGAGATGCAGTTTGCGTGCTATTCACATGTATTGCATTGACTCTCGAGTACCGTACCCATTTATACGCTGTTTACCTTCATCAAAATCCCCTGGAAATATGGATATGGACGAAAAAATACTTGATTTGAGTTTTGAGGAGATAGAAGAAGGCTCCTCCATGGCATGGTTTTGGTTCTTAATCTGACTTTAGTCTTCTTTGCTACTCACACTGAGATGTTGCTCTGCTATTTTCCTCGTTAAAACCTGCTTTTATTGTGTATGAGACATGTAATACTGTGACTGTAATACTCCACTGGATGTCTGGAGAAATATTCAATCGATTCTTCTGACTTTTATACTGTGAATTCGTCGTTTCTTGCCTTGATTTACCAGCTTTTTTAAAACTGCTTTTGGAGTTATACCTCTTCTTCGGTCCCATCCGCAGGTCTGTACGTTTGCAATTATTTATAGCGACTATAGCCTAAGTATTTACCACAGTAACCCTATTCAGTTTGCGTATAAGCTGCCTGTTGTTAGCCTGTGTATTGTAGTCTGATCTGCCTTTTAGACACTCACAATGCCCGATACAAGGTCAACAAAGGCCCTCATCAAGGAAATTCTTTTGAAGGATGAAGACATTCTCAACGTGATAAAGGAGAGAGTGGCCCAGTCAATGGAAGCCAAATGCCACGACCTCATTGTGAGAATGGAGAAACAAGAAGGCCAAATATTTGAGCTTCAGCAAAAGCTCGATTCTACTGAGCATCAAAACACCATTCTGAAGACAAAATCTGAGGGGCAGCAAAACCTCATCAAGAAGCTTCAATTAGAGCAGAATGACCAGGAACAATATTCTCGGCGGAACTGCATCCGGGTGTTTGGTGTCCCTGAATCTCCTCAAGAAGACACCACTACAACAATCTGCAAGATTGCGCAAGAGAAACTGCGCATCACTTTAAAGCCAGAAGACATCGACAGATCTCACCGCGTTCGAAGACGGAATCCACCTCTCCATCCAGGATCACGGCCAAAACCAGCGGCCATCATCGTGAAGCTGACATCATATCAACATAGGCAGAGGCTGATTGTCAATCGGAAGAATCTGAAAGGGAGCGGAATAAGCATCTGCGAGGATCTGACTGATGCAAATCGTACTCTTCTCCATGATGCTTTCATCGCAAGCAAGAAGCTGAACAGTAAGATAGAGGCAGCATGGTCGATGGACGGACAGATCATCGTCTCGGTGAAGGCATCACACGGTAAGAGCATACGGAAACAGATTCATGACAAGAACGAACTAGACAACATATGATCACAAACATTGAAATTGAAGGATCATTTCCTTCTTCTTGTCCTCTATGCAAACAATATGCAATTACATGTATATGTATGCCATATTTTAAAAGTATACAGTAATTTATGTAATACATTTTATATACATATGCTAGAGTAATATATTCTCTAGACATCCAATAACTTTCTTACATTTTATCCATTTAAGTTCTTCTTTACATTTTGTACATAGTTGTTGTTGTTGTTTGCTTTTTACTACTTTGTTTTAAGTGTAGAATTCATATTCCTTTGCTTTTTTGGTTTTCAAATGTTGTGTCGTGCTCGATTTGTTCAATGTCTCAATGAAAAACATGTATCTGTATCAACCTTGAGAGAATTTTTGTCACCATCAGACCCTCAAAGTACTAATAACTTCACTCAGTCACATTATACTCCAGATGAATTCAATACGTTTGTAACACAGAAATCACTTGATAAGGATGTCAACAAATTATCGTTTATTAATATTAATTGTAGAAGTCTCCAACATAATTTTGATGCATTGTCTGTACTTATGATGTCATTGCGTATGCAAGTTTCAATTATTGGTGTTTCAGAAACATGGCTAAGGGATGAAAATTCGCAATATTCTCTGTGCAATTTAGATAATTATGTATTTGTGGGAAATAATAGAAGACTTGGACGTGGAGGAGGTGTTGGTATTTTTATTCGCAAGGACATTAATTTTAAACGCCGCACTGACTTGGATATTAATGAATCATTTTTAGAAAGTATCTTTATTGAAATTGAACGTTTCAATTCAAGTATTTTAATATGTGTTATGTATAGGCCACCCAGTCAACCAGTGGATGATTTTTTAATGTCTCTCGTTAATGTTTTCGATGTTGTAAATGTGGAAAAGAAATTATTTTATTTAATGGGTGATTTTAATATTGATTTATTAAATGTTGGGAAGGTTCAATCTGTTAATGATTTTTTAAACATTTTAATGCTACATTCTATGATTCCTTTAATAAATGAACCAACTCGTGTTACTGACAGATCTTCATCATTATTAGATAATATTTTTACAAATGATTCTTGCTATATTTATTCTGGAATATTATTCACTGACATTTCTGACCACTTCCCGGTATACTGTATCTGTGATACTGATATTCCCAAAAGTTCCTGTGAAACTGACTTTTATAAACGTCATTTAAATGAAAATAATATTAGAATGTTTTTACAATTGCTGTATTCAACTGAATGGTATCTATCTAGTGATGTGAATAGTAGTTATAATAACTTTGTTTTTAAATTCATGAAAGTGTATAATTTGTGTTTCCCTGTGAAATTAGTTCGTATGAAATATAAGCGTAAAAATAAACCTTGGATTACAAATGAAATTATTAAGTTGAGTAAGAAAAAATGTAGACTATATAAGTTGTTAATCAAAAATCCTAATGTTTATAGAAAAGAAGTATATAGGAAAATTCGTAATGAATTGAATAATAAGATTAAGATTGAAAAAAAAAATTATTTAAAGAAAAGTTTTAAAGATTCTACAGGAAATATGAAGAAAACGTGGGATATTATCAATAAAGCAATGGGGAAAAAATGTAAGATGACTAACATTAAAGAGATTAATAACAATGATACAGTGATAACTGATAAGAATGATATTTCTAATAATTTTAATGAATATTTTGTAGATGTTGGGTATAATTTGAATTGTAAATTTGATTGTTTTGATGATTCAGAGTGTATCAAGTATATTGGTATGAATGACAAGTCTATGTTCTTTAAACTTGTAACAAGTTCAGAAATTGAAGATATTGTTAAAAAAATAAAAAATAATACAAGTGCTGGATATGATGATGTTGATGTTAAAATTGTGAAAAAATGTATCTATTTATTAAGCAGTCATTTATGTACAATATTTAATCAATGTCTTGAACAAGGAGTATTTCCAGATAAAATGAAAATAGCAAAAGTGATACCTGTTTTTAAAAATGGAGTGTCTGAAACAATGTCTAATTATCGCCCTATATCCGTTTTAACAGTTTTTTCAAAAATTTTAGAAAAATGTATGTATAATAGATTATATGCTTTTTTAACAAAGTGCAATATTATTAATGATAATCAGTATGGTTTTAGAGCTGGACATTCAACTTCATGTGCAATAATTGATTTTATTCATAAGGTAGCCTCTGCAATAGATAATAATGAAGTTATGCTTGGATTGTTTTTAGACCTTAGTAAGGCTTTTGACACGTTAGACCATCATATACTGTTGGTGAAATTATATCAATATGGAATAAGGGGAATCGGTTTAGATCTTTTTAAAAGTTATTTGTTACACCGTCATCAAATTGTTTCTATTGCTAATGTAAAATCAAATTACCAAGAAATCAAATGTGGAGTACCTCAAGGATCCATATTAGGCCCATTATTGTTTATTTTATATATCAATGATCTTCCTAGTGTGTCGAGAATTTTAAAATCAATTTTATTTGCCGACGATACAAGCATTTTTTTATCCCATCAAAATATACAATCACTTCAAGATATATTTAATCAAGAAATTAAGTTAATAAACACATGGTTTTCTGTAAATAAATTGTCAATTAATATAAGTAAGACACATTATATGATTTTTACTAATAAAAAATGTGACACTGATTCTATTATTATTCGTTTGTGTAATACAGAAATTAAACAGGTCTCTTCACTTAAGTTTCTTGGCATAACCATTGATAATAAGTTGAAATGGACTGATCATATAAATGCTGTTTGTAATGTATTATCGAAAAATATTGGTGTTATGTATAAATTAAAATCATTTCCTAAATGTATATTGAAGATGATATATAACAGTTTGATATTACCATTTTTGTATTATGGAATACTTGCATGGGGGAATGCACATGAAACCCATATTAGGAAAGTGATTTTATTGCAAAAACGTGCAATTCGTACTATTTGTCATACTTCTTATCTTGCCCATTCACATCCACTTTTTAAAGAAATGAAAATATTGAATTTTACTGATATGTACATGTATAATTATCAATGTGCAATATTTATGTTCCAGTGCTATTTACAAATCCTTCCCAAATCACTTTTAAAACTTTTTATACTAAATTGTAATATACACCACTATAGCACTAGAAATGCTGAGAATTTTCACTTGCCACTTGTACATACAACTTCATATAAACGTACAGTAATATTTAATGGACCTTGCTTATGGAGTACTATACCTCGTAATATACACTGTACGTGAATTGAAGTTTGTTAACACTTTCAAACGTAAATACAAAAAATACTTGATGGACGTATACTGATATTAGCTACAGATTTTAACGGTTGTTAAATTCATTATATTTTACATGTAATTGTTGTTTGTTTCACTTTTTATTACAGCTTAACTTTTTATATTTGATTAATTGGTCAGCCGCATACAAGGACCACCTCCTTTCTGGCTGCTACCAGCATTAGCAATTTCCTTTGTATTATTCATGTTTGTAAATTGATTCTGTGTATTTCTGTGTTTATCTATGTTAGTAATTGTAATTGTATACTGCTTTTGTTTTACCCTGTATGTTTTGTATTGCTTGGCAAAATAAATTGAATTGAATTGAATTGAATAGATAAATGGTATATAACTTCCAAAAAGCGAGTGAATATAATTATCGTCGATGCATGTAGCGTTCAAGTTTCCCGTAGCTAGTAGCTGTGCGTGCGTACTCTGTGTGTGCAATATAGCACGTACGTAGTATGGGTGCATCATTATCTAGCGCAGCTTGCTAGCCAGCCTAGCCCGTAGCCCGGCGCTCCAGCTAGCTGTGAATCGCGAACCGGACTGATCTGTTTCTCTCGGTTTATCAGGTCCTACGACTTAATTTATCAAAAATGTAAATTAATCAGCCTAATCACACATTTTTGTAATGAATATCTGGACAATTCTATGTAAATTTGTCGCTAGCTACTTTACTCCAAAAGAGTCGTTAGGTCAGCATGCAAAATGTCCTTTGCCTTCCAAGACGCTGAAGTGCCCTCAGAATATGTGATTAGTTTTCCGATTTTTATGCTCAAATGTGACGGGAAAAAATATAAAAATCAAACAAAATTTGTAGAAAGTATCATTTATTCAGTGTATCTCATTCAAAATGCCACAAATAGAGGAAATATCACCACTGGCGGTAAATGTACAAACAACGTTAACCCATATCTGAAAATTGCAATGGGTATCCAACATTGTCCCGAATGTGTGATGTAGGTTGTTCATATTGTGACGTCATCGTTTCGCATGTAAAATAACGCCGTCAATTCGCTTAGTGAGTGGGTTCAGGAAAGGGTAACAAAATTGCATTTAATTTATTCTTCACAACAGTGAGGGCTTCAAATGTACTTTGCTCATTTTGTTAATGTTCTCAGCAATCTGTAGAGGTGTAATTTGGCCATTTTCCACATTTCAATGAACCATCTCTTTAAAAATGGCTTGCCATAAATACGCAGTGCTCAAACGCATGCCAAATATGCAAAGGTGTGACTGAGGCATTATACAAAGACTCAACAAAATTACATGTAGTAACAAAATGGCCCTCAGAAATAAATACCTTTTGAGATGGTGAGCGCTGGCGACCACTGTGATCTGAGGATTCCTAACCAGATGCTGCCATTGCTGTTGATATTTGGATGGTAGATTTTTGTGGTGAAAGCAACCTGTATATAAAATGGAAAAAGTAACGTTAAGACACTGAACACTTTTGAGTGACATCAAAAGCAAAACCTGATCTGATCTCACAGTCCGTGATATATAAAAAGGTTCAACATGATTTACGCCCACATTTAAGACTCACACATGTAATGGTTCTTGAGATATTGCGATACCAAGGCTAAAAGATGTACATGTGTTTTCAGAAATTTACCTCTATGACCTTTGACCTACTTTCCCAAAATCTATCAGATCATTTTTCTTTGGTGATAACAATATCGCCAGCTTTGAACTTGAAGCCCATACCTGTAGTGGTTCTTGAGATCTTGTGATGAGTCTAATACCTGTAATTTTCATAAATTTACCTCTAGATGACCTTTGACTTTTGACCTACTTACTAAAAAATTGAATCATATCGTCTTCCAATATCATCCATGGAGAAGCTCATACCTCTAATAGCCCTTGAGATATTGCAATAGCAATAACGATGCTAAAACCTGCTCTTTAGAAATTTACCTCTATCAAACTACTTTCCCCAAAATCTAATCAGATCATCCTCCTATGGTCACAACACTATCATCAGGTTTGAACTTGAAGCCTAAACCTGAAGTGGTTCTTGAGATAATGCGATTTTAACGAAAAAGTGGGACAAACGGATGGACGGACAGACAACCCACAAACATTGTCTCTGGCACCACCTTTGGTGGACGGAGGCATACAAATATGATGTATTACAAAAACAATCACAACTTCTTTATTCTTTTACAGGGGTGATAGTGAGCACTAAAAAAAAAATAGGTTTTTTGTTCCCCTCAACCACTTGAGTAAAAAAAAAAGAAGAGGATTCGCGGGGAAAATATGGCATCTAACACCATTCCCCCCTTTCGAGTAAGAAAATTGGGACAAAATTGGGGAAAAAATAGGGCAAAATAGGGAAGAATAGAGAAAATAAGAGGGACATCGGAAAAATCAGGATAAAATAGGGAAGAAGAAAAAAAAATTGTGAAAAAAAAAAGAAAAAAAAAATATCTGGATTTTTTTTTTTTTTTTAAATCGGGAAGAAGAAAAAAAATCGGGAAAAAAAAAATTTAAAAAAAATCGGGAAACCGATTTAAATCGGGTTTTTATCAGGCCTGTTTTATGAATTTATGTGAATTTTGATGACATTTTCTGAGAGGTTGTCAATGAAAATTTTGCAACATTATTTTGAGACACAGAATCAAATCTAATAAGGATTTGAGAGCTTTTGAGGCCGTTTTCATCATGACAGAGTGGACAAAAGCACCAAATTTGGCATGAACACTCCTTACAAACTACATGTACTAATCAGTATAGGAGGAGCCCTCACAATTTTTCAAAGCTGCTCATTTTAATCTAAAAAAAAAAAAATCAAAAATGGTCTCCATAGTTTTTCAGGCTATATACATTGTATTTACATGTATGAACATTGGGAGGTTTTGCTCTTAGCATATCGAGGAACACATGATTTCAAATGAGACCTTTACTTCACCACATGCATGCCACACATACATGTACTTATCCATGCAATGTCTAAAGAACAGTGAGGCCTAAAATAAAAACTTGTTGTATTGCCCTTTGAGTGCCAAAACATGGGTCGGTCGGTCGGAAAAGTTTTTTTTTTGTCGCCCTCTTTGGGCCGATATTTTTCAGTTTCAAATTATTTTTTTCCCGCCCTCTTTTGGCTGATATTTCTCGGTTTTTAATGCTTTAATACATGTGTTTCAGCGTCATCATTCCATTCATATCTTTTTCACCTCATAATATTCCATGGTTTGCAATGTTGTGTTGATCGAGATGTGTACGCTAGTAGGATTTTGTAACTAGGGCAGAAGACGATTTGGTAATGATTTGCCTTTATGCATTTATATCCCATTTATCCCGACAAACAAAATACATATTTTTTTATTCATTCATAATAAAAAATTCTAAAAAACGGTTTAAAAAAAAACTTTTTTAAAATGCCGACCGTAGATTTTCAGATTTTTGGGTCGTTCGCAAAGGGCAATACAACAAGTTTTTATTTTAGGCCTGATATGTTATTTCTCTAAATCATTTTTTGGTTTAATACGGACCAAAAATTTGAGGGAAAAAAGAAGGATCAACACTCAGCCTTTCTAACTAAAATTATGTGGATACCATTCAGATTATAAACATTAAAATATATTAATCTACTAAATCTTGGTCATTTAATATTCAAGCTACTGAGCTTGGACTAGTTTTAGACTCACCTTGGGAGGTTTGAAGGGATAATCTGTTGGGAACTCGATCGTGAGGAAAAATATACCATTTTGGTATGGACTGTTTACCTGTGAGGAAAAAAAAACATGACAAAAAAATGATCAGTTTAGACAGGGTTAATGCAAGGTCAGAATAAAAGTGGGCATTACGCATGCTTACAAACTAGTAAACAAGCCACACACAAATACTAGACAAAATACGAACAAAATTGCTATAAAAATGCTATGTACAGGTACATGTGTTTACCTTTTTTTTTGGAGGGGGGGAGACAAAATACATGTGCATAATGCAACATCAACTGTTTTCTTTTTCTTTTCTGCTAAAATAGATAACCTACCCAGATTTCTTTGGAACCAACAATCACTCAATAACAGTACCTTCAGAAATGATCTCAAAACTCACCTCCACTGTTAACATAATTGTAAAACACATTTGAACACGTACATGGAAAATGCACTACGTATATAAATAGGCCCTACTTTATTAATGATTTTTATTTTATTTGTATACTTACCGGACCCATTATTGTTGCTTGCCAATGATATACTGTTGGTAAAAAAATAAGAAAATGATTCAAGTTCACATGAATGCACATAAATCTACTCTTGAACGTAGTTTTGATTGGTATCAAACCTCAAGATTATCTATAATCTCATGCTAAGTTTTTTTGCAGCATAACTGACCTAAGGCTTAAGTGACCTTTGACATGACTTTTGCAGAGCTGCCAACCTCCAGAACAGAAAATCAGTAATCACAAGGCTCAAAATCAGTAATTTGTGGAAAAAATCAGTAATTTCCTAGGCGGCGCTATGAATCTAAAAAAGCGGCATGCCAACACTGCACGGACGCATTTTTGGGCAATTTGCTCACACAAATAGTGCGAGTCTTCGGGCTGGAGAAGACGCACCGGACAAATAGCAGGATATTTGCCAAATAGTGGGATATTTTGCAAACTAGCCCAAGATATCTTAGGATGATTATCTTGACCAAATATCCCGCTAATTGCAACTTCGGGCTGATGAAGACGCAAATTAGCTGGACAATTTGTGATCGGGATAGTTCAAATAGCGGGATATTTGGCAATCTTGAGCTGATGAGGACAGGTCTATTCGACATAAACAGAGAAGATTGTTTCTGATTAAGAGAAGGAATATTAAGGATGAGACCCTTAAAAGTAATACAAAGTTTTGGGAAATTTTGAAAATCGGGTGGATAGTGATTCTTTACAATTTGGATATATTTGGATGCCCCTGTGGATGTATTATAAGCACTAGAAAATTTAGCCCCTAAAACACTCCTGCTTTCGAGAAATATTGCATATAAAAATTTACCGGTGCTCCCGGTAAATCTTGATAAATTTCAAATAGCGCCTACGGCCACACAATAGTAGCTGCGACCATGAAAATCTCAGAATGTGTAGTTCTGATATATTTTGCAAATGGGATAGCTAGTCAGTCGATTTTAGTCAAGAAACATTGTTTTATAGCTTAATTAATATCTTGACCTTGAGAGGGAGCTATACAACATAAATAGTTTATTATTAACAATTTCATAACTTTAGACCCGATTTCAATCCCAACAACGATCACTGATGGTGGTAGGATCGCATATGCTTCCAATATGTTCATTTGAACCAAATTCATGACCCCATACCAAAACTTTGTATACCTTTAAAGGTAAAGACCAGTTATGGTCATGCGATTGCATTGTGAAAGAAACATTGTGAAATCGATCAGAAAAGGTTGATCATCTAGCATCTAGCATCTGCAAGGTTCTGGAATCATCAAAATGATAAGAAATTTGGCCCATTCTTCGTAAAGTTACAAGCACTATACACAGAAAGATGTATATGGGACTACCCTATATCTCTCACAGTCCATGAGAGAAAAAAATTTACCAAATATATGAATTAGTAGGCGGTTTCCCAGCAAATTTTTTATCATCATGTATTAGTCAAAATATATTCTTTCACATGATTGGTAATGAGAGCTTCCATTTCATTTTTTGAAATTGGGGCGTTTCCAATACTGGTCTTTACCTTTAAAGAGGTTTCTTGAGTAAATGTACTTACAATTATCGTCACAAACAGGGCCTGCTGTACATTGTTGTGGGGGATCTGTTTTTACATCCTGGTATTCCTGTGACAGAAGAAGAAGAACAAGGAAATACACCGGTGAAATGACAAACTAAAATCCAGTCATGAAAACATGAAAAACATCATAATATATAATAATAGTGGTGGCTTGGCTTCTAGCTAAGTTCTTATACATGTCAAGCGCACCTGGAAAGTGTTTCACAAAGACTATTTAGAATTTAAGATCAATTTTAAGTTGGACTTAACTATAGCAAGCCATTCATGCCACTTGTTGCTCTCTGTCTCACCATTAGTCTCTCAATTATGGTCTTTAGATAATATTTTCTCCTCCTAATAATAAATCATCAAAATATGTAAATTTTGTAGATTTGTGCCCATGATTTGTACGTCCCTTGAGTGACCGATGCCAGTAAATGGTGATAGCAAACAGTGGCAAACATAAAGTCAGTCTTACTGTAGTGAAGTGTAGTCTTTGTGAAACACCCCCAGGTCCGTCAGACATGACACTCATGGCGATATACATGTACATGTACATGTACATGAACATACAAATCAATCAATCAATCAATACAAAATGCAAATATGAATACAAAAGAAGGTACAATATATCTATAGACAGGTCCAAGCTAATGTACATGTAATTGGATTGTGACGTACATGTACGGGACATTCAGAGACTTTGAACAAGAAATAACAATGGATGAAATTATGCAGGCGAGACAAAAAATTGAAGTTCATGACCTTGGCATTCTTTGTATCTTGATGAAGAAAAAAAAAGTTTAAGAAACACAGAAAAACTAGTCTAAGATACACCTGTACAGAACAAATTTCAAATAACATGATTGAAATCACAGAGTGATTACTGTACATGTATCTTAGGTAAACTACAACTGAAAGGAAACTGAAAACATACATGTACAGGGTAAGGACAAAGGAGCAACTTTCAGTTCAATGAAACCAAATTACTGTACAAAGAATACTCAGAACTTACTCCTCATGTTAAAGGCAGTTTAGTTATGGTATTATACAAATAACTCATGTTTACAAACTGGGCATTGTTCAATACGCACTGCACCACTGCACCACTGCACGCACGGAAAGTCATAACAATCAAGATGATGAATGAGGAAGTACAAAGTTGGTGAAATGAGACACTAATATCTAGTCATGATTAACAAATCATACTCAGAATTTACTCCTCAGGTTAGTCATGTAACATGTACACTGTACATGCACAGTCAAACCCTGCTTTAGTGACCACCTGTCTACAACAAGCACATTTTTGGTTTCCCTTGAAAACGGTTTCTCATTGAAACATGCACAGTACTAAAGGAACCTGTCTACAAGGACCACTTTTTGTGTTTCCCTTGGGCGGTCGCTGTAGACAGGTTTGACTGTATCATAAATAACTCATGATTACTGCATTTGTCAATATGCACTGCACGCAGGTACTATGTACATGTACTGTACAGGCGCGTACGCAGGATTTTTTCAAGGGGGGGTTTTAACATTTATAAATCGGTCCGAAAATTTCGCAACGACTCAGCCAGCCGGTGAATAAGCGGGGGGGGGGGGGGGGGGGGGGGGTAAGAGGACACATTTTTTTTTTTTTTTGGTCCCAAAAAAATCGCAAATTTGGAAATTTGACATTTTGCTCCGTTGGGGGGGGGTAAGGTCACCTTTTTTAGGTCGGCCATGAGAATAATTTTTTTTTTTTTTTTTTTTTTTTTTTTAATAATTAAAAAAAAAAAAAAAAAAAAAAAAAAAAAAAAAACCAAAAGGGGGGGGGGGGGGGGGTTTTTAGGTTTTTTTTTAGGGGGGTTTACACACAAAAAAATTCCAAAGGGGGGGGTTTAACCCCCCAAACCCCCCCCCCCCCCCCCCCCTGCGTACGCGCCTGGTACTGTACATGCACAGTGTACATGTAAAGTCACAATCAGATAATGAACGAGACTTGTTGAGTTCATTATTTGGCTACCAGTACATGTAATTGTATACATGTACATGTACATGTATTTTATGGAAAATCATCATACAGTGTAGACAAGTACATGTACTCACCCGGAAAAATTATATGTTACACACATGAACTAAAAATGGGCCTACATGGAAGTACAGGTGCGCTATTTGACTACCAATTTGAATATGAAACAGCAACAAACTTTGAATTATTTTTCTTTTTTAACATCAATAAATTTACACAATATACACAATATACATGTACAGTAATAACGGTAACTACCGTAAGTTTAACAAAACTTAAAGAGAAGGTTGAGTTATGGGAAGAGGTGAAAAAATAATTTGTGAGCGTTATCATTGTTATTATACAAGTATGAACATCAGTATACAAAAATGTTCCCTGACAAGCATGATGGCTCTTCAAATGCCTTAGTAATATGGTATGTAAGTTCTAGTATCTTATTCTCACAGCATTAGACACGGGTGTCAAGCTCGTGCAGTAAATCATGTATGAGAAGTGTTAAAAAAGATATTTCAGTAAAAATGTCTACGTGAGCAGTCTATACTCCCAATTGAGAAGTTTGAATGGAAGGTCATGATTGGAAGATGTTAGTGCATGATCCATGGTTAGTGTTATACACCCTGTACATTGTACATGTACATGTAGCTAGAGAGAGAGAGAGAGAGAGAGAGAGAGGGAGAGAGATCAAAGTACACAAATTGACTGATATACAAAATATCTTTTGAAATGTACAGAATTTCATTTGAAATATTTATCCATCGGCTGAAATTGCTAATCAAAAAATTTGAGGAAAATTATTCCCTGCCGTACCTGCAGGTGTAGTTTTCGGCCGTGTGGGGGATTACGTGCTCTGGCCGCACGCGTTATATTTTTTGGTACCACAGCGAACCCGTGCTACATGTATAGCATCAGCGGGTGAACGCACAGGGCGCGCTCCCTACTGGCTACGCACATGTACGTTCATGCGGCTGAAAACTGCCTTGCTACATGTAGGCCAAAAACTACCTACGAAACAGTCAAGTCAAAGAACTTTTGATAGAGATTAACATTGCAGATGTTCACAAATGCCACTTCTAACAACTAGAAAATATAAACAAAAAAGATTATATCTTTTTTAATACAGATTTTTACAAACTGAACATTGGAAGGTGGATAGAGTACAATGTTTATGCCAATCTTGCTTTGGTTTGAGCCCCATAGATACAGCCATCTCTAAACGAGAAGGAAAACTGTGAACAGTGACGTCATTGTTCAAGCCAAGAATAGAGGGTATGATTGCGTCTTTGCGACAAAATATATGAATATGTATGAGTTCCGGTCAGATCACGCGCCAAACAAGTGTAGTCTATGACATAGGACCTTATTCTCACAGCACTAGACACAAGTGTTGTGCAGTAATGTATGAGAAATGTTTAAAAAGATATTTCCGGGTGACTTGTTCATCATTCGACTCTTTTTATATTTCATTTGTGGAGAGACTTGAATCGCTTTGGCTAGCATATTCTTGGATCTGTCTTTTCCACTGACACTTATCGTTGTAGTGACACGATGAACGCCATCGTCACCACCTCGTCATTATCTAGTATTGTGTTGTGTTGACATGATGAATGCCATCGTCATCACCTCACCTCATCATCATTGACTCATTAATTTTTTGACTGCCATCACGAGCCATGGTGTTGTGTTGACACAATGATTGCCAGCTTGCCATCATCTCAGGGGAGTTCTACAGTTATAGCAAATTAGTAGGGTGTCTGATCGCGCACCCGATGTTGTGTGCTAAAATACTTCCTATAGAGATTGCACGCATCCCTATGCAGTCTACGTGCATTGCGCGACCATGAAAATTGGTCAATGATTTTATGAAAAAATTTGATATCAAACTAGGGTGTCTGAACGATTTTTCAATTTTCAATTTGGGATTGTTTTTCACCATTTTTGTTTGATATTTGAATAAAAAGTGTAATCAGAATAATACATTTCAAATTTGAAGCTTCACCGATGTTTCTATCAAAAGATACAGCCCCTCCAAAACGCTGGTATATTCATATCATTTTGGTCAAAATCGACGAAAAAGACGTCCACGCAGAGTGATGTTGTTTTGCTAATTTAGCCAAACAGCTGTATCGCGCGATATGCAAGCGTATGCATATCGTACGCATGCTGCTAAGCCAATGCGCAACTTGCAGCTTGAGCCACGTTAATGTTGTCTCCGCGATGCCTGCCATTGACTAGTATGGATAGCCGTTCGCGCTAAAAAACCAGGAAGTGACTACACGTTATAGTCAATGGCAATATCGCACGTGCACATGCACGTGCACGTTGTCTCCGCGATATTGCCATTGACTATAACGTGTATTTACTTCCGGGTTTATTGCGCGAATTGCTAGCCATACTTTCATTCACTATAATGTGTAATTGACGTCCGGGTTTCGTTCGTACGCGGAGATGTTACGCAATGTAACCATGGTTTGGACTGAGCGGAGCACACGCCCCCTAATTAGCTGATCCAGTGGCGGATCCAGGGGTGGGCCGAAACGGCCGCGGCCCCCCCTATTGGCGGCGCAAAAAAATTGAGAAGGAAAAAGAGGAAGTAAAGAAGAAAGAAAAATAAAAGGGGGAAAAGGGAAAAGATAAAAAGAAAAGAGAAGAAAAAAGAAAAGAAAAGAGAGAGAGTTAAAAAAAGAGCAAAGAAACAGAAGAGAGGAGCCGGGAGAAAGAAAGACAACGAAATGGCACTATAAATTGGTGACAGTAACGACGAATAAGGGAAAGACAAGGGGAAGAGGGGGGGGGGGGGGGGGGTGCGTGAAGGCGGATGTATTGAGGGGAAGGGGGTAGGGGTGACTGACCGTATTCTTATTTTTAGGTTATGCGAAACTGAGTCGGAATTATGCTTTTTTCCCCAATTTTTTGTAGCATGTATCAATTACAGGTCTCCTTGGGGCTGTCATGCTGGCCATATTGGCCAAATAAAAAATGGCCGCCATCCGAGTTAAAGGTCAAGCGTAGTTTCAAAGGAAAAGGACCAGTATGATAAAAGTTGATGAATTCATGGGGTT